AGTGTGTGTGTGTGTGTGTGAGTGTGTGTGTGTGTGTGTGTGTGTGTGTGTGTGTGTGAACCCTGTGATGGACTGTGATGGACTTTTCCCAGACTGTTTCTCTGCCTTCAGTTCTGGATACAGGCTAGTTCCCAGCACTCCCACAACCCCATACAGGATAAATGGCAAGAAAGATGAATGGATAGATAGATTTTAAAAAAGCTGTCTTGCAGTGTATTTAATCTGTAAAAACCCAAAGGAGTGCAAGCGCTGATATGAACATGTCCAGGAGTGATTCTGAACCGCTCTCATGTATAACTCCGTGAGTGTCTCCTCTGTGTTTGTGTGCTCCTGTATCAGGCAGAGCAGCGACTGCATGGAAATCATCCATAATAATGAATTTCACAAGATACGCATGTGCTCAGAATCAAATATTTCAGTTGCCTTTCATTTCAGCCACTGCTGAAGCCTGAAGAAAATCATTGGCAGATGGTGCATAAGCCCCGCCCCTTCACATGTCTGTCACGTCACGCATATAAAGAGGCTGCGCACCATCTTGGTCTTTCTGTGATACAAGGACACACATGCTCTGGATGCTCAGTTGTCTTTTCGGTGAAGCCATTATTGAAGACAGTGAGACGTTCAGCCCGACAGTCGACGGTATTCAGGGAAGCAGAATTAAACGCATACAATACTTGCAAAACATTACGATTTTTAAATGTTTTATGGTGCTTCTGCTCACCAAGGCTGCATTTATTAGATCAAAAATACAGTAAAATATCATTACAGTTTAAAATAACTTCTGTCTTCTATGTGAATATTTTGTAAAATGCTATTTATTTCTGTGATCAAAGCTGTATTTTCAGCATCATTACTCCAGTCTTCAGTGTCACATGATCTTCAGAAATCATTATAATATGCTGATTTGGCACTTCTGATTATTATCTATGTTGAAAACAGTTGTGCTGCCCAATATGTATGCAGAAACCATGATATACCACCAATTGAATGTGTATATGTGCATGTTTTTAATAGAAAATAATGCTTTTATTCAGCAAATATGCATTAAATTGATAAAAAAAAGTGACAGTAAAAACATTTATAATGTTTCAAATAAATGCTATTCTTTTAAAATCCGGTAAAAAAAAATTTCCACAAAATATTAGGCCGCAAAAACATTTTTAAATAATAACAACCATTAATAATAACTGATCACCAGAGATTAATTGAGCAGCAAATCAGCATATTAGAATGATTTCTGAAGGATCATGTGAAACTGAAGACTGGAGTAATGATGCTGGAAATACAGCTTTGATCACAGAAGTCAATTACATATCAACATATATTCAAATAGAAAATACTTATTTCAAGTTGTAATAATATTTCACATTTTTGATCAAATAATTGCAGAGCAGAAGACACTTCATTAAAAGCATTTAAAAGTCATAATGATTTCAAACTTTTTACAAGTGTAGCAAAAATGAATCACTCAGTATTCAAAGGAATGTGTGATAATGTTCTCAACAATGTTCAACCAATACATGTCTGTTAACATGTTAAAAAGATGTGCTTTAGGGCTTCATTCTCCCTTTATCACGAGAAATAAAATGCAGCATGTTGTAATATTGAGTGGATTCAGTGCTCGTTCTGTACGGTGATCCATGATGAATGCTAATGAAGGAAGCTGAACTGCTGGTTATCATTCTATTTGCAGCATTATAATGTAATTACAATAACAAAATCAACCACGGGCCTCTAAGACTGTGTGTGTGTGTGTGAGAGAGAGTGTGTGAGTGAGAGAGAGTGAGAGAGTGTGTGTGTGTGTGTGTGTGTGTGTGTCATATCAAACATCCAAAAGCTTTAACACTTCATTGTGAATAGATTTTATAAAGCTGAGGACAGAGGCTAAAGTGTGTTTTGTACTAATTTTAAGAACATTAATAGATGACTCAAAGCACTTTCCATCATTTTGACAGATAAAATAAATAAGGTCGGATCTGGTCTATTGTGCTTTTAAACTTTAGCAACACTCCCACAGTGTAAAAAAAAAAAAAAAAAGGATGCCAAAACACAAAACCAACAACCTGAAACACAACACTTCAAACTAAAAGAGCTCTTGCCACCAAAGCTCTGGAATGATGTGCATGCCACACACAAAGAGCAAAAGTTACAATATTTACTGACAGATTAAAATCGAACAAGATGGAAAATGTACAACCCTTCACATCAAAGTGCTTGATAATGAATATTTGTTGCACAAACTACTCTCTGTGCCCACCTTCCATGCAAAGTAACAAAGTAACAAAATGATTAAAAACCTGACAAAATATAACCATTATTTGCCACTTTGACAGACTGTCATGCTACAAAATAAAAATTATATTGTAACGCTTGTTTTAAAAAGTGATTTAAAAATATTTTAATGCTTGTTTTTTTTTTTTTTGCTTTTGTTGTTGTTGGAGTTAGCAATATACAACGTACTTTATTTTTAATCTAATGTACTCTTAAAAATCAGTAAAAGACAGACAAATTCAGTTTAAACTATTCTGTTCTTTATTAAAATATATATATTAGAGGACTACAGTTAGTAATAAAGCTATTAAAGTTTTCCAGACAAGAGCAGTAAGTAATTTTCTTTTCTCAGTTTTATTGCCGTTTGATTATTATTGATGGCATTATAGACCGCAGCAAGTCTAATAGACTCCATTTACTACACTAATGCACTAATGATCTATTTTGACACATCAGTAATTTTGCCCCGTCTGTTTACAATCCCGTAAGACATAACTGACTGTTTACATTCATTTTGCACTAGGCCTAAACACTGTGAAATGCAAATGCATTTTTCACGGTAACATGCAGTTTCATAAAGTCAAATACTGTGGGTGTTCATCAGAAAACAGACGCACAAATGCAAGTGAGCATTTAAAAGTAGGGATGCACCGATCCGATATTCAGTATCGGTATCGGCTCCGATACAGTCATTTTTTGCCGGATCTGGTATCGGTTAGACGAGACTGATCCAAATCCGATATTGTGCGTATAGTATTCTGTGTTATTGTTAAGCCCCACAAAAGGCACAAAAACATTATAAAGCACCATAAAGTTTTCGTGCATCGGTGCAATGGTATCAGTGCATCCCTATTTAAAAGCAGTCACCTGTCAGCAGTGCTGGGTAGATTGTAGTCCGTTACTGATTACAAATTACATGACAAAAATTGTAGTTAAGAAACAATCTGAATTACACATATTAGGTAAAGTAGTCGGATTACTCTTAGATTACTTGCGTTTATCACAGACTTGAATGATTATTGTGTACCATACTTGAGAAAAAAAAAGAGAAAGAAAATATATTCCAATCTCTGTTTTCTATATCATAAAATGCATTAAACAATATACAGACGTAGAATCCA